ACAGATGCCGACAGCCCAGCCCTGCTGGCCTCCAGGGGGAGGGGGAGGCTTCGCCCCCAGCCCAGCCCAGCCCAGCCCAGCCGGGCCCACGCCAGCCTTGGTTCCTGCATTCCTGCAACCCTCTTCCGAGGCTCCTGCCAGCAGTCGACTTAAAGTCACAGCAACAGCCTTGCTTTTTAAAAATTACAGGATAGCCCTAGCCTGTTGGGCTTAGTGGCTAGAGCATCGGCCTGCAGACTGAAGGATCCCGGATTCAATTCCGGTCAAGGGCACGTGCCTCGGCTACAGGCTCGATCTGGTTGGGGGCGCGTGTGGGAGGCAACCAAGCGATGTGTGTCTGTCACATGGATGTGTCTCTGTCTCTACCTCTCCCTGCCACTCTCTCTGGAAATCAATGGGAAATATCCTCTGTGAGGATTAACAACAAACATTACGAAATAGTTCAAACATACACAAAAGTATAGCAAGTCCTCCGTCTGCCTGCCCTATAGGCTGAGCAAATGTTGACGTTTTGCTGTTTTTGCTTCAGCTTCTTTTTAAGAGAAGGAAACATGACAGATGCAGCGGTGGCAGCTCCACACCGCGTTCGGTTCTGTCTGTCTGTCCAGGGCACTGGCCCCAGGGGCGCCCGGGAAACACACCGCCTTCCACTAGGTCACGTTTGCATTGGTTGTTTCCTCCGTGTCCTGGTCGCTCCCTTTCTCTCCTGGCGCCTGACCCTGATGGCCAGCAGGAGGCCTGTGAGCTGGAGCCGCTCAGGTCGGGGCGTCTGTCCGGCAGGCGGAGTGGCTTTGGTCTCCATGAAACAGGGCGGCGGGGCTTGGAGAGAGTGAAGGGCATGGCCATGACCCCATGGCTGCGACCCCAGGCGGTGAGGGGCAGCTCAGGACAGGAGGTCAGGGGCTCCGTTTATCAGGGGGGGCCCTGTGTTGGGAGACAGCTCACAGTTTACAGGTAAAAAGGAGGTGGGCAGGGAGGTGGGTGCAGGGAGGTGGGGTGGAGGGAGCGGCTCTGAGCTGGACATCCTGGGGCCAACAGGACTCCATGTCTCAGCCCCCCTCCTCATTCTCTCTCCCCTCAGCCCGCCACTCCGACCCTCAGCTGGGATCCCAAGAGCCCACAGCGCAGCGGGCGTTCATGGCCAGAGCGAGAGCTGGACGGAGAGCCGGCCTCGGTGCCAGGTCCCACTCACCATCATCTTCCTCAGGCTCTGCTGGGGGTGCTTCCTCCTCGCTGTCCTGCTCCTGCTCCTCTTCCTGCAAGACGAGGGGGGTGGTCAGTGCTGAGGGGGGTCAGTGCCCTCGCCCCAGCTCTGGGGGTGCGGCTCAGAGGCGAGTGGACAAATATGGAAACGCCTGCAGGTGTAAGACGGCTGCCCACAGCGAGGAGGCAGCACTGGGACGCGAGGTCCGGAGGGGCTGTCCCGGAAGGGGGACGGGCGTGTCCGGTGGGAAGGGCCCGGCGGGGCCTCCAAGGACCTCTCTCCGGCTCCAGCACCGGCTCTCAGGGATTCGGTGAGGGCACCGCCTCCTGGGCTCCGCATTCAGTGCCCTCCGCCTCCCGCATGCCTGGGCAGTTGGTCCCACCGCGTCCATGTCCAGTGCACCCCCCGCCGCCACCGAAACCGGACATCAGTGAGGGCGGGGCCTCCCCAGCGCCGGCCGGTGCTCACTCGGTAAACGCGGAGCCCAGAACCGGGGCTCAGGCCCCAAAGAGTCAGAGAAGCCACACCAGGGGGGAAGGTGGGCCATCGGGCCCAGGCTGGCGGGGCACCAGGGAGGAGAGAGGCGACTGCTTGGGGTGCTCTGGCGGCATGGCCAGTCAGTGGGTTAAGCTGGCCCCCCACGCACACCTCACCCCCACCCGGGGGTCCCCGTCCCTCCCATTTCCCGTCTGTGGCAAAGGCTGCCCCGTCAGCATGTCAGCATGCGCCTTCCCCACCCTCCTTTCTAAGCTTCAGTGTAGCTGGGGAGTTGACAGTTCTTTCCTTTGACCTCAGAAGAGCTGGAAGGTCATCACGATGCAAGACTGAAACCCAATCGGTCCTGTTTCCCGGCAGCGGAAAGCCTGAGGCCCTTGCTGCCCGAGCCCCCGGCTGAGCGCTGTGCGTGGGCATCACCTCATACAGTTCACTCTACACGCCTGTGAGGTGGACGGTCACCATCATCACCAGTCATTACTGCAGGGTCAGGACTACGGCCAGCCAGTGAGGCGCTGGCCTTGAGGGTGTGTGTGTGAGGGTGTGAGTGTGAGGGTGAGGGTGTGCGTGTGAGTGTGAGGGTGTGTGTGTGAGGGTGAGTGTGTGAGTGTGAGGGTGAGGGTGAGGGTGGGTGGGTAATTTAGTGGAGTGTCCACAACTCTTCAGTCATCAAGAGGAGCAAGCTCCTATTTTAATACAATTGTCTTGATGAGGAGGCATTCACGTTGGTTACCGCTTTGTGTTGTTTTTGGTGCTCCCTTAATGTTTTCATTTTCCCCCGGCAAGTGCCTCACTCATTTCATTCCACGCTAATCCCCACCTTGTTCTCACCATCCCCATTCCGTGGACCTGCGCCGTCCAGCCGACACCACAGGTCGCTGCCGAGCGCTGGGTGTGTGCTTAGTCCTACTGAGCGTGCCCTGCCCTGAGTGTAAGGCACACGTGGGATTTTGAAGATTTGGGATAAGGTATGTAAAATATCTGAATTTTTATAGGGATTACACATTGAAGCGATATTTTTGATATATTGAGTTAAATAAAAAATTTCACCGATTCTTCTTTATTTTCTATTTTCATGTGGCTACTAGAAAGCTAGAAATTACATTGCGACTCACACATTTCTAGTGGACAGCATTGTTACAGACCGAAGCTCAGAGAGGCTAAGCAATTTGCCCAAGGCCGGGATTTAGGCAGTTTGTTAACCGCCTGGGACCTCAGGGTTGTTAAACTGTACAGCGGGGACAATGGTAACACCTCTCCGATCCGGTCCTCGTGGCGGTGCCCAGCATGTATTGGCCTCTCTTTGTGACAAGTGCCCTCTAGGGAACGTCACTTCCCATCCGTAAAACAGAGCTAACGTCCATTCTGCGGTGTTGGGAAGGACCCCCCCCCCCCCCCCCCCCCCCCCCGCCCCCATCTGGGGCACCCTGCTTCCCCTCCCTCTTTACCTGGCTTTCTTTCTCTCCCAGCTGTCAAGTCATTGTGGACACCCATGATCGTCACATGGCATAGACAGATACACAGATAGAGACACCTACACACAGACACATAGGTGTAGAGGTGCAGTGACAGCCATGCACACCTAGAAGCTAGTGAGCTTCTCTGTCTGATGGCAGAGATTTTGTTTGCTGCTCTACCCTCCGCAGCGAGGACAGTGTTCCCCACGTGCTTGGCACTTGATAGGTATTTTTTGAAGGAACGAATGAATGAGAGGAACATAGACTGTGCTTAGCCTGCACCCGACATGACCCTCCTGCAGGCATTCCCCTCCCGGGACCTCTGTTCAGACCTGTGCCTGTGCAACCATCTGCGCTCACTCCTGTCCTGGCTGGCATTGCGGTCATTTGGACAGGTGTCCTCGTCTCTACCCTGGGTTGCGGCTGGGCGCGCCCCGAGGTCGGGAACTTTGCCTGACGAGTCTCCTCGCCAGCACCTGCGCAGGGGTGGTCCCCTCCAGTTCCAAAAAACTAAAGACAAGGCAACCCCCACCAGCTCGGAGCAAGATGACGCCCAACAGGGGGAGAGTGCAAGCAAAACCCATATCTTTCTTTAGAAAACCGAGTTATTCCCCCGAGGGGGTGCACCGTTCCCGGAAGCACTGCAATACCGGGTCGATGCGCGGAGTGGACGGAGCAAGCTCCTATTCCATCTCCCAGCTTCAAAAATCCATTTAATATAATGTCCTCGGATAGAGGACGTATCAGATATTAAACTGATAAGAACAGATACTACACTTGATCTTAGCCAAAAGGCCGAGAAGCGATACTGCCTGCCCGGCCGGCGCCGGCTCCCTCCCGGCGTCGCACACATTGCAGGCAGGGTGAGCACGCGAAGCCGGAGCCTCAGGCCTCGTCTCATTTCCTTACGTCGCCCACAGTGCGGTGCATCCACCAGACTCTCCTGCAGATGCTTTTGCGCGCTCCATTTTTAACCAGAAATCCTATATCCCTGGTTGTTCCCTGGTTCCCGCGCAGAAGCCATTTCTAATCTGCATGCCCCGCCCCTTGCCCCTCCCCTCCCCCCAGGAGCGGTGACCTCCGGGGCCGACTCCACCCGCCCCACCGCCTCCGCGCGCGGTGGTCCCAAACCCAGCCATCCGCATCCCTACCTCCTCCCCTCCCTGCCCAGGACCTCTCTGCCCGCGTCCGCGCTCTTCCGGCCGGATTCTGTCCAACAGTTGGGGTCCCGGGTGCTTGCGCCCTGAGAAGGGGGTCGCCTGGATTACATTAATCGGAAAGGGGAATATTTTCCGTCGCAAATCTAGGCATTGGAGTCGGAGGCCAGAGCGTGGGCCAAAAGACAGAGGTGTAGTAAATAAAGCATGGAAGGCGACTCGGGACTGGTTGGCACGCCGCTGACCGGCCCAGCGCCTGGAGCTTATGATCCGGGCCTCGGAAGTGCCCCGGAGAAAGCTTGCTCTTTCCTGCCGTGATCGCCTCCCCACCCCTGGCCTGAGACGCACGTGGAAAGCAGTTAGCAGCGTGCCATTGGAGCCTAGCTTCCTTGGGACGTTTGACTACTGACAGGTTTCCTGCCTTAGGCGCCGCACCACTCAGTCCAGCCCCCCGGAGGCAGGTACCTCGAATGCCGCTGAGACACTTGCCCCAAGACGGTCTCCTAGGTGGTTAAGTGGTGCTACCCACTCCCACAATCCTTAGAACGAAGGAAGCTTTTGCTGCGTCGAAACAGTTCTGCCTTTGCACCAGCAACTTCCCCCCAAGGGGGTGCACCGGTCCCGGAAGTACTGCAATACCGGGGCGATGCGCGGAGTGAACGGAGCAAGCTCCTATTCCATCTCCCAGCTTCAAAAATCCATTTAATACGATGTCCTCGGATAGAGGACGTATCAGATATTAAACTGATAAGAACAGATACTACACTTGATCTTAGCCAAAAGGCCGAGAAGCGATGCTGCCTGCCCTGCCCTGGCCGGCACCCTCCTCCCACCACCCACATTGCACTCACGGTGAGCCGGGTCGCCGGCAGTCGAGCCCTCACTTCCTTTGCTTCTTTGGCAGCACCATGGCACTCACCAGAGGGTAGACTCTTGTGCCGGCTTTTTAATTCTCTATATTTTTAAAGAGAAATTTTATGTGTCCTGTGGCGTCGTCCTTTGCCGGAGGTTGGGCGGCAGACTGGGGAGTGGGGGGTGGGGTGGGG